CGAGAGGAAAGATAAAACTTGTTCGGGTGATCAGTTTAAATATTTGCAAGGTAAAAAAAGTTGCACGATCTTAGCGACATTGGAATGCTCTTGGTTCCTTTTTGCAAAATGCGATCCAAATAGTCCAATAGTATTCCGTCTAAGCTCAATTTCTAAAAATTGACGGTCACGCCCTCCTTCAAATAATCCGTTCAATTACGGTTCGTTCGCACGGTCCGCTCTTTTCCATTTTCGCGGGGAAATCATTTTATCTGCGTGTGCGGTGGTTGCCCGTGGGTCTCGCGGCGCGATGCACCGCGCTGACAGTGGCGTGGCGTGTTTTGCGATATATCGATTGTCATGTCATTTAAACCGATGGAAAAGGATCGATAAACAGGGTGTTCGCAGCGAACACCTTAATAATCGATTCTTTACCATACGTTTAAATGGCAGAACAATCGATACATCGCAATTCACGCCACGCCACTGCGCGCTGACCGCGCCGGCTGGTATCATATTCGCGGACGGTGATGAGCGGAGCGGGCAACGGCGGACGCAGCGCAGCGGAGTGCATGGGAACTCAACCGGGCGGACTGGGCAGCGGCCGAATGACCTTGGCCAAGATCGTGATCGATAAACGAACAAATTGAGCTAATTACCGCCCCCGCCCCCCGCCACCACCCGCCGTCCTCCCGACCCCCTCCGCCCGGCGCCGGCGTCGGCCACTCACCCCACACCCGCGCCGGGCATCGGCTTCCATCCGCGGCGCGGCGTCGCGACGCGGTCCGATGGTGGGGGGCGTCGTCCCCCCCGTACCCCCTCCGTGCGCCGGTTCGCGATTGCTATTTGCAGTCGGCACATGCTCGTGTCCATCCGTTTCCCGTGCGATTGTGCGTGCGCCTCAATGACGCATCTCCATCGCGGGTTGTTGGGTTCCCGGTGAGGACAGCCCCCCCCCCCCCCCCCCCCGGCGGGCTGATTATGGAATCTATAGACAAAGCTGTAGACAAACAGAAAATTGTAACCCACAGTAGACTGTTTAGTCAGTCTATCATTTTCCCTATTACGCTACAACAACCACACGTTGCTACACACCCCATTTTTCCTGTGTCCTCTTTATCTATCATCAAAGTCAATAATCAGCCCGCTGTTGCACGCCAAAGACACAGCAAACTGAGTAAAGTTCAGTCAGGTAAACTCTTATAGCAACGCCAGGGGCTGACAGCAAATATTTTTACTTCCCGGAGCGCTAGTTGCCTATTCGAGTAATTGAAGGTGCAAGGAGGAGCACTTTTCTTGGATGTAATAAGTTGTCTCATTTTGATGGTTAATTTTTAACCCTATCATGTGGCACACTCTAATACATCTTTGTTATATTTGGATTTATAGACAGATAAGTCAAAACGAAAATGGAGCGATCTTTTTGGTTGAAAATGAATTGGGTGCTTCTTACAGACCAAGGTTGAAAATGATGGACTACCAGGGTCTCTTGTGGTTTACCGTTTCTCTGGAAAAAAACCACATTGGACGTAGAGTCCAGACTCTTAAAAACATCGACAAGTAAAAGTACTCTTGATTCGATCAGAATCTAGCTTAAATCAAGAACCAAGCCTCTTAATTGAAGCGGATTTCCTTTTGATCAAGCAAAAAACCGATTAAATCAAGAATATTTTTTCTTTTCAATGTTTTCCAGAGTCTGGACTCTAGATCCAATGTGTTTTTTTCCCAGTGTTGCCTATACCTAGTCAGTCTAATGCTTACCTCCTTTGTCCATTACGACCTCCTGATTCCACCAATGGGATCTCGTCATTTTCTCTTTATCCATCGGTTTGCCTATCAATTCCAATAAGCAGCCCATGGGAATGTTAAATGCCGGGAACGGAAAATCTGAATACAGTGAAAATGGGAACGTGATCCCTCACCGAGGCACTTCGTATCCCTTAATTTCACCAACAAATGCGTCGCACAAATATTTATACAACGAGTCAACAGAGTCATCAGCGTTTCACTGTGACCTCTCAACCGTTTTCTCGAGACTCGCGCTTGTCACCGAACAACCGATGATGTCAACGGTGATGTCAACGAGCATCGGAGCCGCTCAACAACCCGTTTCCGGTTTACACGAAGCGCCGTTTCCGGAACGGCGGCTCTCGTACCACTAGTTGCGGCGCGCGCAGTTGCCATTCTGTCTCTGATCGTTTCTAAGTACTTTTCTCTCGCTCAATTACACAGAATTATACTGTTTAATCAGAAAATAGGCCTTGTCAAAATCAGATTTGATGTTGGACCTTGGGCTAGGTTCCATACATTTTGAAGAAAGAACATGTAACAGAATGTTTAAATTCGTTACATGTCTACACTATACTGTGCTAAGGAGAAACGTCGTATGAACCTTCGTCAGTTCCCAAACTCCCTTTGATTAAATACCAATTTTAAGGAAAACTCGAGAATATTTTCAGTTCCATTTTTCAGGAAATTTTCTTCCTTATCAAATCTAAATTATCTGAAAATGTCAGCGGAAAATAATAACAATTCTCCTCCTCAATTCGAATTTTACTGCAGAAATTTGGCAACTCTCGAATGTTCATACTTCGTTTAGCCTTAGCACGCCATTTCAGTCGATTTTATATTTTGTAATATTGTAGAAAAGCCAACACTCTTGTATCCCTCAAGTTTTATAATTTCTGTTAAAATCAAGTCACCGGCAAAAATAATAAATAATAATGTTATTGGACGTTAAGAACTTCACTATCAGTGTCTTTTTGACCTTTTGCTCAAACTAGCGCCGGATAAGCATTAGGCGAATAAAAAAGCGCCTTCGAGTATGGAGAATACGACACTACTAGCACGGTATCGAGAGTAGTCGTAATTGGACTTTTGCCGGTTTCACTATATCGTTATGAGAATCGGCCTATCGGTTAGACACAGCTAGATTGCCCGATCAGAGGAACGATTTATTGATACTACTTGCGTCCTTATTTTGTGTGGTGTGGTGATGAAGCCCAATTCAAAACCAACGTGAAACGCCACTTCCCATTGGCAGCGAAGGGTGGCGGAAGCACAGTAACGTCATATTCAGTGGTGGTTTAGGGCATGTCACAATACAATTCAAAGCTAGAGCATAATACGAGTGGGCGTAACGACTGGGTACACATTTTTCAGTTAAAAATCAATTGCAGGGGCTCCGACATAGTTGTCGATTTTATTTACTGCTTCTGTCTTTTATTTAAGGAGGTTGCCAAACTTTTCCTTCTCAAAAATCTAGGCTTGTTTAATGCGTAAATTCGCACGTGAAATTCTAACATCAACTGGTTAGAAAGTTATTCTGCAAGTGACAACTTCCGAATTTCAAGATGGTAAAATTTTCAGCCCAATAATGGTAGCTGAAAATGTTTTCAGCCCCATCCTTTCATGAAAGGTGGACTTACTCTACAGAGCAGCTTTGCTCTTCTATCACATCCTCAACTTTAGGCTCTTGAAGAGACTAGATGACTCATGAACAAACTTAAGAAAAAGTCAGAGGAGCAGGTCACTTCGGAACTTTGAAATTTTAGCCTTGAATGTTCTCCTTTAAAGGATTTAGATAATAACGCATGACGGTAACATATGATATGTCAAGATGATAACATCGTAAACTATGGTTCCATGACTGAAAAATATATTAAAAATTTCACGTACCTGTTCTACGTGAAATTGTAAAGAGAAAACTTGTATCATAATGCTTGAGTATGAACCTTATTTGGACCACGCTCAGTAGAAAGGAACCAAGCAACATCAGCTATTGCCAAATGAAAAAGGGCAATTCGATGATTTACAAAAAAAACGTCTGTGCGGATTTCTCTGAAAATTTTAAGGACTTTGCTTCGCACAATGCAAAAACTCCAGAGCTGCACAAAAATTCGCACAACCATTTTAATGTAAAAAATCAAATTGCCCAACTAAATTCGGCAGTGGCTGATGTGGTTCGGTTCCTTCCTGTATAATGCGGCCCATCTAGTCCATTGAAGATTCGGGAAAATTTGACAGCCTAGCCTCCCTTTTTCGAGACAGAGGGTGAGATCTGATGACGTGGCGACAATCTATTATTGGGCGGAGGGGTTTGGCACGTTCCGCCGGAGGCAGCCAAAACCAATCTGCGAGTCGTATTCGTATTTAATTTCAATCCCCGGCGAATCAAAACATCCGCTCCGGCGCCGTCACCATCAACAGCTCGTTTCATTGTATCGCGGTATATTGTACGCGATTTTACTCTGCAATTGCTCAATCTCTCAGCTCTCCAAGACTGCACTGCATCACGCAGGAAAAAAAAATAACTTTGCTCTATCACTACGCCATGTGACCGTTGTGCGGCACAGAAATAATGTCCTTGGCACGGTGAGGGTGTACTAAGGACCGTCGGACAATGGATCGAGTCAATAGGAGAGCTCGGACCAAATTGGGAAACTTTAAACGCTTATAACTCCGTTTATACAAACATTTGAGATTCTGAAAGTGTTTTTTTTTTGTTTCCTCGTGAAATTTTCTTCGTGAATATCCCCTTTACATTTAAAATGTGACGGAATAAACATAAAAATTTACACTTTCAGTCAAACATTTCTTCTCCGACTGTGAAAATGGGCCCCTAGAAGTTACAAGGATTCATTACTACAAAAAATACGAAATACGAAGGAAGAGTTTTGTAAACTTCAAGCTAGATTTGCCCCTACCCTAAAGTTTGCCAACATCGTAGAATTTTTCCTGTTGCATTTCGTAGTTTTTGAAATGGTAAAGCAATGTAATCACTGAAATAACCGAGAATTGCCTGGAATTTCCAGAAATAGTCTTTCGGTAGGTCTCCCGTTCTCTGGCTGAAGACTCCCGGATGGCGTTTATGCACTCACCATCAAGGTCTCTTTTCTTACCACCGTCTTTTGAACAATGTCTCATTTTAATTTTGTAAATTGTTATAATCTTGCATATCTTGTACTTCCTTTCTAATAAATTTCTTTCCCTTCCTTTTTCACGCTGCTTTCTGGATATAGGACCAAGATGTAAGTACCAGTTTTTTTAATTTTGAGTATAACATATTCAACACGGAAAATTATTCAATTTGGTGCCCCTCGGTATCCATCGTGCTTTTGATTTTCATTGAAATTGAGTCATGAAAGATTTCTAAGAAATAAAAATCTGTGTGAAAGTGGATCCAGACTAATTTTTTTTTAACCTCACTTTTTGAGCATAATTTTAATTTGTACCCTCCCTGATTCTAAAAGCAACTTGCTGTTTTTCAGCGAGGTTAACAAAATGCTTCGTAGTCGAGAAGAACTCTTTTTAAGCCTCATTGAGAGGCAAATGCGTTCTATCGGAAAATTCAAGTTAGCGAAAGAATGTCAAATGGCAAATAAGGTCGTGCGAAAAATAAGTTGCACTTTCAATCCTCTCCCCAATGAGGCTTAAATTTTTTTTCTCTATGAGATGAACATTCGGTGAAAATTTCAAGCCATGATGTTGCTTTGGCCTCTTTTTTAAAAATGAAATAGGAGCGTGGATTCTGAAACAACGCAGCCGAGTTACGCATTTCTGCAGTTTCACCGCCGATGCGTTGTGTAGTCACAAGAACAGGGAATAAACTTCACGCATCGAGACAATAAAAAGCTATAACATCAATATCAGTATCCGTCCATCGTATCGAATACTCCCGCGCTAAGGAAAAACCCCGTATAAACTTTCAGAAGTTGCCAAATTTCCTCTCGTAAAACACGAATTTCCGGGAAAACTCTGGAATGTTTTTCTTGGAATTTTCCCTAGAACACTCCTTGGAATTGCGTCTAGTGTACTGCCGTGCCAAGGAAGAACTCCGTAAAAATATTCGAGAGTCTCCAAATTTCCTCTGATCAAATACGAATTTTCAGGAAAACTCGTGAATGTTTTCCGTTCAATTTTTCAGAGAATTTTGTTCATAATTGGATCTAAAAGTATCTGAAATTAGAAAAAAAAGAGAAAATATTCTCAACTTTCCTTTAAAATGAACATTTTCATGGGAGAAATTTGACAATTCTTGAATGTTCACACGACAGTTTCCCCCAGCATAGCAGCGTGGTTGAACATTTCGAAGAGAAGTCCTCAAACTTTTCCTGAAAAATACATATTTTATCAGAAGAAATTTGATACTGTTGGAATGTTCTCAGGGCGTTCTTCCTTACTACGGCAGTGTAGTTGAACATTTCGAAGAGAAACCCTCGAAATTTTGCTGAAAAATAAATCTTTCATCAGATGAAATTCGGCATAATCGGAATGTTCTTACGGTGTTCCTCCTTAGCACGGCAGTGTAGTTGAACATTTCAAAGAGAAACCTGCAAATCTGTACGAAAAAATAAATTTTTCATCAGAAGAAGTTTGGCAATTTGTGAATGTTCTTGCGGCGTTCTTCCGTAGTGGGGCCGAAAAGTCCAGTCCGTCCGGCGGGAAGTAGCTAGCGGCATCGAGAACTTGAGGCCGTAAAAACGGTATCGATTTCAGGAGAAGCACGCCCGAAAGGCCCATGAAAAGAAGAAAAGAGAGCCAATTTTGCTAATTGGTTATTTGAAAACCCCGGCCTTCCCCCCTCGCCCTCGGCCAACTCGGAAGAGCCATTCAGGAGCCGTAACGAGGAGTTTTTAAGCTCAGGATCTGTCCAGTAACGCAGGGTGACGTTGTAGAACGTCCTGTATTTTTCCGCTCAGAGATCCCGGAATTTCCCGCGGATTCCGCGGGTTTGGCAGCCCCGGGAGAGTTCAGGAAAAGCGAGGCTCTTTAATTACCAACTTCAAAATGCTTTAATGAACACAGGCTCAGTTTCCAGCCACAGATTTAATATCCCGGGAAAAACTTTCCCTCCTCTCCAGCGCACAGTGACGCCGCCTGCTATGGGAGTGTCGGACCAGAAAATGATGCACCCCGAACTTTGTCAGCTTTCGAAGTCATCCTTTTTTTTGTCGTCTTTTTTTACCCCCATTCTGCCGTGCCAAGGAAGAACGCCGTATGAAAATTCGAGAGTTGCCAAATTTCCTTCGATGAAATGTTTGTTTTTAGAAGAAAATGATAAATATTTTCCCTTGAAATTTTCAGATATTTTAGATCAAATTAAAAACAAATTTTTTGAGAAATTGGTAGACAAACATTCAAGAATTTTCCTGAAAATTGGTGGTTTGCCAGGGGAAATTTGGCAACGCCTGAAGGTTCATACGGCGTTTTTCCTTAGCAGGGCAGCATTGAGAATAAATATCGACGGTAAAACTCCGAAATCACATGTTGCCTTTGCGGGGTTTGAAAATCTCCGCCCGTATTTTTTTTTTCTTTGCAGGAGAGAAAGTCAACATTGTTCCTTGAAGTTTTCTCAGAATTTTCCTCGGGCAGAGAGGGATAATCACAGAAGTTTTAAAGAATCGTTGTTGAGTAGTCATCTTTTCAAAAAAACAAAATATAGCAGGAAGTCTGCGACGTCGCGAAGCGAGATACGTTGTTTGGGAGTTTCGTCGCGTCGTTATGGAAATCTGCCGTTGAAAAATGGAGTGAAGTTTTTGCCTAGGTGAAAAGTTTGTTTTCAACACAAATATTGGCGTTAGTTTCTCGCCCTTCCGTGGAATTTTTCCTGTCAATATTTTTTCCCCCTTTAGGAGCGCCCATTATAATGTCTCTTGAAAGGATGTGATTATTTTTGTTGATGTACCTTTGAATTCTGAATTCATCAATGAACGGTTAATTGAAAAACTGGTTCTCACGGAAGTCATTTTTCGATTACCCTCCTGAAAAATCAACTTTCACTTCTAGAGCCAAGCCACGCTCTTTTCTTCCAGGCCTCCTCCACCACGCCAGCCTAGTGGCGGCTC